TACATAATTAAAAGTGTGGAGCTTTCCATCTTCCCTTTGGGATACCCTGTATGGTCTAAAGTTATAACCAATGATGCGCTTGTTTAGTCGAAAATTCGACAAAATCGAAAGGTTAGATTTGCGGTGGGACTGAAAAATGAAAGGATTGGTGAGGTCATCGTCGATCTTAATAAAGAAGCTAGTTTGCTAGCTAGTAAGCAAGAGGTATAATATTGTCTGTTGATTGACCCAAAATTGTCTGCCTGTCATGTTGTCTTCTTCTTTTTTTTCCTTACAGTAATCAACCAGTCAAACACAGAGAATATTTGTAACGATTGGTAACTGACAGTGATGATGGAAACTGACAGTTTTGACGACTGGTGGTTGAATATTGAGTTTCATTTTTGAAATATCTATCTCCGAATCCTTTAGAATTGCGATTGTATCTTTAATCAATTATATTAATAAGTTGGTTTGTATTTCTTGGTGTTGTGCTTGTATGTAAGTAGTAGGACCTCTAATCGCAGATTCGTGATAGAGTCTCGATACAGAATTTCTTTCCACGCCCTGTATGATGAATGTCAATTTATCATACACCCAAAAGCATTTTTAGATTTGGAATAGAAAATTAACTTAAGTTTATGTGTTCGTGTAGATGTCTACGGTATAGGATACTGTCACATTTTCTCAATTTTTTTTCCAATGAACAGCACAAGAAATCGTAACTAAGTTCCTAAAGTTAAGTTGAAAGGATGGATCTGAGGAGGCACTGAAATTTCAGCAAAGAAAGTGAGGTTATGAGGTGGAAAACCGCAAAACTTTACTACTAAAATTCAACTACCGTTCACGTTGAGTACTGCTGAGAAGCTAGCGTGTCCAGCCTTATTTTCAGCGAAGCAAGTGTAGGTCCCTGCATGTTCAGCTCCGACATTCTCTATACTGAGAGAACTCATCTTGTTGCCATTCTTGAAAACGGATATTCCACTAGCATAGTCGACCGTTTTATTATTATGCAACCAAGTGATGTTAACGGGTAAATCGCCTTTGAACACCGAACAAGTCAAGGAAGCCATGTCTCCAGAATTGGCAGAATCTTCTCCGAAATCGATAGGTAGGATTTGGGGAGGTACTACAAGAAATCATGAAACATGCTTGACAACGATTCAATTCATACCGTTCACATATAAATTCGCAGAGTATTCAGCCAGCCCAGCTATGTTATGAGCCACACAAGTATACAGTCCTGCGTGGTTATCCTGCACAGATTCGATCATAAGCGTACTGACTTTCTTTCCGGTTTTAGAAATCGTTATGCCTTCGATGTAGCCTAAGCTTACGTTGTTGTGCAACCAAGTAATGTTTATCGGTAAATCGCCCTTATGCACCGAACACTGTATGGAAACAAAATCGCCGGAATTCACAGGACCATCGCCGAAATCAAAATGAACAATTTGCGGGGATGCTATATAAAAAAACAAGAAACAATCAAAAGGTTGAGGGATGAAACAAACAAAAATAGAATGGAGAGCTAAGGTTCTTGGTAATTTTCCAATCAGTACCGTTAACGTTCAATACGGTCGAATAACTGACAACTCCTGCTCGATTTTTAGCAATACAAGTATATGTTCCCGAGTGTTCTTCCTTCACTGAATCGATGCTCACAGTGCTGATCTTCTTGCCAGCTTTAGTGATCAGCACACCTTCTATATAACCTATGCTGATGTTGTTGTGCAGCCAGGATATGTTTATCGGCAAATCTCCCTTGTGTAGCGAACAAGTCAAGGAGGTAGAATCGCCAGTGTTGATGGATTCTTCGCCGAAATCGAAAGGAGTTATCTGGGGCGCCACTAAAATTCAACACGCAGACATGATGATACTTTAAGTAAACGAAAACGAAGATAGTAGCGAGAGAGAGGCTCAATGTGTCAGTTTAGATAGAGTTCCTTAATGAATTCGACAATTTTGTTTTGACATTTTAGTATTTTTAGAATTCCGACACTCGACAAGCAGTAACAGTCAGACATAACCACAAAAAAATTATGTTCTGCCAAACAAGGAAATGAATATGTTTTTCGCTCAAATAAAGATTGGGAAAGTGGGTACGATGAATTCAATAGTTAGGAATACAAATTGTAACGCAATAAGTATTGAGAATGTTTTTTTCTTGAAATCCTAATGAACTGAAAGGTAAGTAGGTAGGTACTTATACGTTCAGTTGAATAATGTTTGTAGTACAGAAGTTCAGAATGGGGTAAAAATTGATGAAATAGATCAGGAACACAACCAATATGAAAGACTTTTATTTCATATAGACTATTTTTGATCGTACAAGAGTGGTAGGGTAATGAGTAGTATAGGTAAATAGCAACTCCACTTCTAATCATGTTCGATTTGTTATTGAAATATCCAATTTGTTTTTTAAATGTAGAAGTTTTTTATGATCTTCTTCATCAAAACTGTGGAGTTCACTCAAAATTCTCTGGATATTTCATTTTCAGTCTCCTGAAATGACTCTATGGTAATACTTATGAATATTGCTAACTCTAACATTGATATCTCAATCTTCTTGTTTGAATTTATTTTCCAACTCTCTTCTATGGTTACTTCTATTTGTTTCCTGAATTCTTCGCATTTTGTTTATTAGTAATCCTTTTTGTTCAAGATCGGTTCGTTCTTTTCATCCTGTTTACAAATTGTAGGTTCGACTTTCTCTCTCAATACAATTATGTTTGTTATTATCAATTCTTTTGGCCTGAGAGTGCACCTAATAAGAAATGCGATAAACAATATTAAACATACTGCAACTTCTCAAATTTTTACTGTACCACGTCACCGCTTCATGTTTCCTTTCCATTTCCATTTGATGGAAATTCGAATAACGTAAATCAATGACCTGTATTTTTACAGTGAGAAACAAAACAAACTTGCATCTTATAATTTTCCCAATTCGTTCTTGATTGTCTTCATTCCCCAAGAATCATTATTGCTTATGATAGGGATACATACAACAAAACATAATAAATCAGAACAATAATAATTGCACAATTAATGTTTTCAATGAAAAAAGGAATATAAAATCAAAATATTCCACTATGGAATATTGATTGTTCACCGAAATTTGACTTATAATCATTTGCTATCAATAAATTAAATTGCTTTGTTCCATGGGCGTGAATCGTATTAACTTCATTGAAATTCAAATTTGATACTTTCAATTCCTTCCTGACAAAATGAATAAAACAACAAATTTTGAGTTTACATAATGAAACTAGATTCAGCAAGTCTTCAGGTTTGTATAGATTTACAGTTGATTCTAGAAGGTGAATTGAAAATGCACCTTTATTGTTTCATGTTTAATTAATTTCATGAGTGTCTTCGAACGTGAAATGTGAAATATGTCGCAGTAGGACAGTATGAGCGCTCTTATTGCAGCGGTGATTAAGACAGCTGACACCATCCATGTGCGACATGACCTCTGAAGACGACTGTACTTCTCCAAATAGATATTAGATATTGTAAAGTTGATTGAATAAGCCAGAAATAAATAGTCTTTATGTCTGACTGTCTGTGCTTTTCATAGTGTCCGTACTCTAAATATTCAAAAACGTCAAAACATATATGTTTTCATTCAAGAATTCTAAGGTTAGGTAGAAGGTGAAGGGAAAGAACAAGAATACAAGAGGAAAAACAACTGTTAAGATACCGTTGACGTGCAACTCAGCAGAGTAACTAGCGTGGCCAGCTTTGTTTTTGACCAGGCAAGTGTAGATGCCGCTGTGCTCAGCAGCTACCGACTCGATGCTGAGCGAGCTGATTTTCTTGCCATTTCTGAAAATGCTTATACCGACAGCATCATCAATGGTTTCGTTATTATGCAGCCAGGTTATCTCTACCGGAAAGTCGCCCTTGAAAACTGTGCACTGGACAGAGGCTACGTCTCCCGAATTGACAGATTCCTCTCCGAAATCAAAATGGACAATCTGGGGTGGCACTGAAATTTTGAACGAACGTTTCCGAAAATAATATAAATGCTGCCATTAATCTGAATCTATGAAGACAAGGTTTGGTAAGGATGATTTCAAATAATAGAGGAAGCAAAGCAGATAGTGATTTTTCAATTCAAAAATACCGTTGACGTTTAATCTAGCTGAATAACTGACAGCTCCAGCTTCGTTTTCAGCAATGCAAGTGTAGGTGCCAGAGTGATCCTCTTTCACAGAATCTATGGTGACTGTGCTGAGTTTTTTACCAACTTTGGAAACCAATACACCTTCGATGTAACCTATGCTTACGTTATTGTGCAGCCAGGATATGTTTATCGGCAAATCTCCCTTGTGAAGGGAACAAGTCAAAGAAGTCGAATCACCTGTGTTGATTGAGTCATCGCCAAAATCAAACGGTGTTATCTGAGGAACCACTACAATGAAACAAGTGAAGTCATGTCAATTCTAGAGGCCCACAGTGTTATATGTATGGAATTGGAAAGGAATTGGGGAAGCCTGCATTGGAAAAGACAAAGCAACAAAATTTGAGGGAAGTATGATCAGAGTTTGTTATCTAGGTACCATTCACATTGAGCAAGGCTGAATAGCTGGTAGAACCAGCTTTGTTCTCAGCAAAGCAAGTATATGTTCCTGAATGATCTGCTCCAACGGTCTCTATACTGAGTGAACTCATTTTATTGCCATTCTTGAAAACGGATATTCCACGACCGTAACCTATTGTTCCATTATTATGCAACCAAGTAATGTTGATTGGTGAATCTCCTTTGTGAAGGGAACAAGTCAAAGAAGTCGAATCACCTGTGTTGATTGATTCATCGCCAAAATCAAACGGTGTTATCTGAGGAACCACTACAATGAAACAAGTGAAGTAATGTCAATTCTAGAGGCCCACAGTGTTATATGTATGGAATTGGAAAGGAATTGGGGAAGCCTGCATAAGAAAAGACAAAGCAAGAATATTTGGGGGAAGTATGATCAGAGAGTTTGTGGAAAATATCTATAGCTTCATTTAAGTACCGTTCACATTGAGCAAGGCTGAATAGCTGGTAGAACCAGCTTTGTTCTCAGCAAAGCAAGTATATGTTCCTGAATGATCTGCTCCAACTGTCTCTATACTGAGTGAACTCATTTTGTTGCCATTCTTGAAAACGGATATTCCACGACCGTAACCTATTGTTCCGTTATTATGCAACCAAGTAATGTTGATTGGCGAATCTCCTTTGTGAAGGGAACAAAGCAAAGAAGTCGAATCTCCAGTGTTGATGGAATCTTCCCCGAAGTCAAACGGTGTTATCTGAGGAACAACTAAAAAAAGTGATAATCTAGAGGCCCATCGTGTCTGAAGGAAGGGATACAAGGATTGAGTGCGAACATTTCTCTAATTATTCAAAAGTACCATTGACATTCAGATATGCCGAGTACTTAGCAACCCCAGCTGAGTTTTCTGCTAAGCAAACGTATTCCCCAGTATGCTGACCCCCAGCTGATTCTATCGTCAACTGACTGACTCTCTTATTGGTATTGGCAACTATAATCCCATCTACCATATGAGTAGGCCGAGCGTTCATACTCCAAGAAATCTTGATAGGAAAGTCTCCTTTGAAAACTGCGCAAGAAGTAGTTACCAACTCCCCAGAATTTATAGCCTCGTCTCCAAAGTTGAAAGGATGAATCTGCGGGGGCACTAAAAGAATGTTACATCAAATAATTGCATGCAATGTTAAGTACCGTTAACTCTAAGGATAGCAGAAAATCTGGCAACGCCGACTTTGTTTTCGGCGATGCAAGTATAAGAACCGGAATGCTCCTCCTGGATGTTGTCTATGGTCACCGTACTAGCTTTCTTGCCGTTTTTAGATATCAAAACTCCAGCGATATAGCCTATGGTAATATTTTCATGCAACCACGAAATATTGATAGGCAAATCTCCCTTGTGCACGGAACAAGTAAGATAAGTGGAATCGCCAGCGTTGATTGGTTCGTCTCCAAAAGTGAATGGAGAAATTTGCGGAACGACTAAAAGCAAACAGTATGTCACGATTTTATCAAGTGATAGGAGAGGAACAAAGGTAAGGATGTGGAAACTGAGAAAACAAAACCTTCATCACACAAAATACCGTTAACGTTCAACGTGGTCGTGTATCTAGCTCTCCCAGCTTTATTCTCAGCAACGCAAGTATACACTCCCGAATGCTTGTATTGGACAGAATCGATGGTAATCATGCTAGCTTTTTTACCGACATTCGTTATGACAACGCCATCCACATAGCCGAGGCTGATGTTGTTGTGTAGCCAAGAAATGTTTATCGGTAAATCCCCCTTGTGTATGGAGCAAGAAGCTGAAGTGGAGTCACCGGAATTCATGGTCTCCTCTCCAAAATCGAAAGGTGCTATTTGAGGTGGTACTATAATACAACAAAATGAGTCAAGGGTCTTATCGGTGGACAGATTAAAAGGCAGGGTTGTGAAAAATCAAAAAAACATTAATCATGAAAAATACCGTTAACGTTCAAAGTAGTCGTGTATCTAGCTCTCCCAGCTTTATTCTCAGCCACGCAAGTATACTCTCCCGAATGCTTGTACTGGACAGAGTCGATGGTAATCATGCTAGCTTTCTTCCCAGCTTTCGTGATGAGGATACCATCCACATATCCCAAGCTGATGTTATTGTGCAACCAGGAAATGTTTATCGGTAAATCCCCTTTGTGTATGGAGCAAGAAGCTGAAGTGGAATCGCCGGAATTGATGGTATCATCACCGAAATCGAAAGGCATTATTTGAGGAGAAACTATAAGAAGAAAACAATGTTTGTTCAGCCTGGTTCGGATTCTACTGAAGGAATCTACATCAAAGTTGTGATTGCTTTAGCAATTAACCAAAGCTAGCCTATCAAACATGGGCAGCAGTCTGCAAGATAGTCCTACCCAAAAATGGTAGAGATGGCTTCAGACTTTGTTGATTTCTTCCATTTTGGGTCCATAGTATGAGAATAGGTCACCAAAAATTGGAAGCCCTTATTCGAGAAACTAATAAGGCGAAATAAAATCTTCTTGGAGGGTATGAGATGTAGAAGAAAACAATTCTCATACACGTCATCTCAATCTTATCCATTCTACAGCAAAGTTACAATGATCTCAAGACTTGTCCATAGCTCAAATGTATTTCTCCACTTCCGAGCCAGAGCTTTACCAAAACTAGTCCCTATTCAGTGGTGACAAGTGGTAGGTACAGGAGGTCTAGGTGCGAAATAAATGGCAAAAAGACATTAGTCAAAGTAAAAAAGTGCTCTACCGTTAACGTCTAACCTGGCCGAATACATATCGAGTCCGGCTTTGTTTTTGGCCACACAAGTATACACTCCAGCATGGATCGCTTGCACGGAATCCACAGTAATGGTACTGACTTTTCTACCTGCCTTAGTGACCATCACTCCATCCACATAACCCAAACTGATGTTGTTGTGCAGCCAGGAAATATTTATCGGTAAATCCCCTTTGTGTATGGAGCAAGAAGCTGAAGTGGAATCTCCGGAATTGATGGTATCATCTCCAAAATCGAAAGGAGCTATTTGAGGAGGAACTGCAAGGTAACCTTCGAGTTAGAGATTGCGTAGGGTTAGGATGTGAGTTAGTTGAAGATGAATTCATACACCAAAATACCGTTAACGTTCAAATATGCTGAATGCTTGACGATTCCAGCGGAAGTATTGAAAAGGAATATTCTCAGATATATTATAAACATGAAAAAATGGATACATTTGAATAAATACATTGAGAATTCGCATTCTCTATGTGATGAAAATATTGATTCTTTCTCGGCATATTCAACAGAAAACAACTACTTCCCTGGCTATATGCCACGACGAACATTGAATTATATCAATTGAACATACACGATATGAATTTGAGAATAAAATGAATATCGTCTGAAATTGAGAATTGATATTCTCTTCCAGAATCGGATGAATAATATGATGAATATAACGATATAAAAAATATATTACTCACCAAATTGGTATGAAAATTGGAATGTATGGGAGAAATATACCAGTATACATACTCTGTTCTTGTTGAGTAGTGAATTTATCAAAAATCATTCGTATCCATGATGTTTGGGATATATGCACATCTCTTTCACATAGGTTAGATGATTTTGATTCGAATAAAATTCATTTCGAGTTTCAAACTCTCCTCAGTAACCTGAAGTCCAGTCATTCCTTCAGCCATTCTTCATTCAATACACAATTTTCACATTTCTATAATAATATAACTAAAACTATAGTGGAACTGACATCTATCTGAGAATGAAAATTTGTTGACTTATCTCCAGTCATGTGGGTGGCAATTGTTTTAGATGTATGACAAACTGACATTTATCATACAGGGCGTGGAAAGAAATTCTGAATTGAGAAAAACCCAATCACGAATCTGCGATTGAAGGTCTATAAAAATAACAAGTTTCCATCTAACCTATGTGAAAGAGATGTGCATATATCCCAAACATCATGGATACGGATGATTTTTGATAAATTCACTACTCAACAAGAACAGAGTATGTATACTGGTATATTTCTCCCATACATTCCAATTTTCATACCAATTTGGTGAGTAATATATTTTTTATATCGTTATATTCATCATATTATTCATCCGATTCTGGAAGAGAATATCAATTCTCAATTTCAGACGATATTCATTTTATTCTCAAATTCCTATCGTGTATGTTCAATTGATATAATTCAATGTTCGTCGTGGCATATAGCCAGGGAAGTAGTTGTTTTCTGTTGAATATGCCGAGAAAGAATCAATATTTTCATCACATAGAGAATGCGAATTCTCAATGTATTTATTCAAATGTATCCATTTTTTCATGTTTATAATATATCTGAGAATATTCCTTTTCAATACTTTCATACCCAATCAAGGGGTTCAAACTTGAACGATGGAAACTTGTTATTTTTATAGACCTTCAATCGCAGATTCGTGATTGGGTTTTTCTCAATTCAGAATTTCTTTCCACGCCCTGTATGATAAATGTCAGTTTGTCATACATCTAAAACGATTCCAGCGGAATTTTCTGCAGTACAAGTGAACTCCCCGGTATGATGAGCTCTGGCTGCTTCGATGGTCAGTTGGCTAACCCTTTTGTTGGTATTGGCGGTTACTATGCCATCCACCAAGTTGGTACTTTTACCGTTCAAAGTCCAAGAAACCTTGAGGGGATAATCTCCTTTGGTAACGGTACATGTCGCTACGACTAGCTCGCCAGAATTGATGGCTTCATCACCGAAATCGAAAGGATGAATTTGTGGAGGAACTAGAAAAGTTTGAGGGACAGCTAGTTAGGAAAAACAATCAAATGTACCGTTAACGTGCAAAATGGCACTATAGCTAGCGTTGGCAGCTCGATTGCTAGCTATACACTTGTATTCCCCGGAATGATGAGCTTGGACATCGTCTATGCTAAGCTGGGTGACTCTCGGTTTGGTTTTAGCTACGTTGACGCCATCTATGGTCGATACTGGCAGGCCATTGAGAGTCCACGTTATCGCCATGGGTAAATCTCCTTTGGTCACAGCGCAAGTGACTATCGTCATGTCACCAGAGTTTACGGACTCTTCTCCAAAGTCGAATGGATGAATTTGTGGAGGAACTTGAAATTTACAAAATATAGGAAAAATTCATCGAAGATTGCTGAGTTTGTAGGTCCTAATTGATTGAAGGTTGTGCGAGTGAGTGCAAAATTGAAAAAGCAATATTTTAAATGTACCTAAGAGAACCTTATCCTTGAAACTTCATCTTCAGGTGTGATTCAGGATGAGAAGAGGACATAGAACAAAACACGAAAAACCGCGGGAACCACTAGCAGGCGAGCTAGTGTTCTTCGAGTAATTTCGTTCACCAGATGTCGTTTATTTGATGATCAGCATTATTCTCAACTGGCATACCTACCTAACCCAACCTAGTTTGAAGATTCTGTGACGTTTTCGTGTTTTTTTTGGCCGTTACTTGATGGAAACCCATGGCAAATGTAAAAACTTCACAAACGATAAGATTTCCACAAAATTCTCAAACACACGACATGTTTCGCTAACACAGTAGCTTCGTCAGGTGATCATTGTGCCAGTATATCACCTGACGAAGCTACTGTGTTAGCGTGACGTTTTTGATGCTTCGACGAACCTCTGACGTTTTTGTGACGTTTTTATAGCGGTTTTGAGACGTTTTGATGTTTTGACAAATCCGTGACGTGTCTGTGACGATTCCGTGACAATTTTTGTTTCATTCTCTACGTCTGTGGCGGGGCTAAACAGAATCGTCACATAAACGTCAAGGCAATATCAAAGCAACGAAATCGTCATGAAACTGCAACAGAAACGTCACGAAACTGCCACAAAAACATCACAGAATCGTGAAAATACGTTGGGTCAGGCAGGTATTATATTAAGTTGATAATAGTGCAAGAGTGAGATAGGGCACCACTCCAAAACCAGTTCTTATTCTTCAAATGCACCATTTGGTGAACGAAATGCCCCGATGAAGTGAAGTCTCCCGGTACCGTTGACCTCCAAATAGGCGCTGAACCGTGCCTTGCCGGCAGCATTCGTCGCTACGCAAGCGTACTCTCCGCGATGGTGCTTTTGCGCAGACACCACGTTCAGGATGCTAGCCTGACCGCCGAATTCCGACGTCGATACGCCTTTCGAATGATGATTGATGTGACGGCCGTCGTGGTACCATTTGATTTTGAGTGGCGTGTCGCCTGCCGGTACGTAGCAAGTCAAGATGGCGCTGGCACCGGCGTTGAGAGGACCGTCGAATTGGAAGGGACTGATGACGGGGGCCACTGAAACGTATTTCGGGAGGTGGTGGAAGATGGCGATAACACATGGGCCTCTCCCCGATGACGTATTACCGGATGATTTCAAAATTAAGGAGGCAGATACTTGAAGCAGTTGGGAGATATTGAAACGGGTAGCATTTGTTTTAATCTCTTGAATTTGCCTCGTCTTGATTATTCTACAAATTCCGATTAAGAAAGGATGGCCTGACCAGGCGTGTCAAATTTGTCTGACTGGTATTGCTAGTGATGGAATGTTAGCAGGGATTTCTGAAGAACATTCAGCGTGGGAGTATCTATGGAAAAATGGGGAGGCGCAATTTTTTCTACGCTGTTCCAATGAGGCCAAAGAATTAGTAAGTGTGGCATTACCTACCAGGGAAATGGTTCTTCTTTGGATGGAATCTAAGAGCATCAGCTAATGAGTAGCTCTTCGCACGGAATAAAAATCCGAGTTTTGGGAAGCAGCTGTCGCGATGGAAGAATATTGCTGATGGAAATACCGAGCATAGATATGGTGGACTTCGTAGGAATGGCATACTGGATTCTGCCTTTCTAGAAAAAATATAGACTCGGGTTTTGGTGTCGTTGAATTCAACTAGATTGTTGGTTCCCCAGGCTGTAATTTTATCAAGATCTACATTGACAGCGTTGATCTGCTCAAATATAATACGCTACCATGACACAGAATATTGGTGAATATGAAGACCAACAAAGAGGAGGCGGATAACTCAGATTACTGTGAAGCATGGCAACTTTTTGTGTTGAGATCTCAATGCAACATATTTTTTGAATTTTCAAAATTCTGTTGATCTTCAGTTAGGTGGATTGTTATAATGAAATTCTCAAACTTGCCTCGAAAATGAACTTTTTAGTAGTTTGCAGTTTCACGAACATTCTAAAATACTCTTGGGAATAAAATTGAGGATTGAAGAATTGAATTGGTCCATTGAAAATTCGAACACCTCTTTAGTTCAATGGTGTATCAATATATCAACCTATTTTGAAATCATCCGGAACAAATGAACACCACTTGCTTTCCAGATCGAATATTCGGAATCAGGAGAAAGCAAACATATCATGAAACAACTATAACGAATCATTTTGCCATTAGATTTGTATTATGAGTAATTGAAAAGTTGTTGTAAACATTGACAAACACCCCCCATAGTCGTTTGTGGCAATTTCAACACTTTATCCATGGAAAAAACTCAACACAACTATAGCTGGTGATAAACCTCTCACAACTTTTCACACAAATTCAGTGTCAAAACGATTCAGTATATTTTGCCTACAGGATGTTCGCGATTCAGTGATGCTGTCTGCAAATTTCGTGAGAAACAACAAAATGTTGATGGGTCATGAAAAACGAACATAATGCTGTTGCTGATGTAGCATGGAATCTTGCTGAAAAAAAAAGCATGACGCACAAAAACGATCCTTACCTGTACTCTTTTTTGTTCAAACTCATACCTAATATGCTGAAAGAGAGACACATGTAAAATAATTTGGAGGATCCATCCGTAGTTTTCCATGAAACTTCAGAAATACAATAGTAAGATGAAGTACCACCACAGAACTATATCAAAGATCATCACGTAGTAGTTTTCTAGTAATAAAAATATTTATTTTGGAGAGCTGAATATACACGATCAAAATACAAAGAATAATATTCAAGTACAATGAAATGTATGTGAGGTACCACAAGGATCAGTCTTGGGCCCTATAATGTTACCCTATTGATGATCCGACAAATCTGCAAATAACATTCAAATTAACCGATATGCATCCGTTTTGAATCTTAGTTCTGTGGCGGCAAATATTAAAGGAAAATCTACTCACCCATGACTTGAACTTCCAGAGAACCTCTAGCGCTATAACCTTGAGAATTTTTCGCCACACACACGTAAGTCGCTTGATCCGAAGTGCGTTCAACATTTTCGATGATCAAAGTGCCGTTCGGAAAGACTTTCTGCTTCCTGTTGATCGGCAACTGTCTTCCGTCTATCGAAAAGTAAGAACCACATAAAAACTGGACGAATAGATAAAAAAAGATGGTTTGAGCGACAAATTACTAACCTCTTTCCCAAACCACAGCCTCTACGGGATGTCCGGCGAAAGGGCAATGTACCACTAGAGTGCCACCAGCCACTATCGCCTGTTTTTCCATCGACCTAACAAACGGCAAGCCGTACACGTTTATTCTGGCAGAATGATCGGCCGAGCCCACTTTGCTGCTAGCGATGCACCTATAAGCGAGAAATTAGAAACTACATAGCATGAAAATATACGTCAGCATTGATTTTATTTTATAGGTACTGGGTGGAGAAAAAAGAAACTGACTGATCTAGATGCAAGGTTATTATTTTTGGCGCAGTCGGTAGGATTAACAGACTCTAGTTTACGAGGACACTTGTATAATGAAGAATAACTGTCGTATCTGAATAAATATCGAAATCTGGAACATAAACCCGTAATTGTTGTTTTGGCTGAACCCATTTTGATTCTAGTATTATACTGACGAGCGAAAAAATATGAAATAAAGAGCATCTTAAGAATCAACGAAACATGTAAGAGGAAACCAAAAAATCAACTACCTCTGAATTTAAATGCCGGATTATTTTTTATGGGTCAAAAACAAGGTGCGTGAAAGCTTTGTGATTTTTGGGACACTAAGACCTGTACGAACCTACTTCACTCTTGATCTACCTCAAATTCGAGACACATAACACCAAAACAACAATTTTTCCCGAGATTTCAACTTTTTCTAAACGAATATGACGTGCTGCATCAGAATCCGTGTCTAAACTCAATAGTAAGAAAACTACTAAAGATCCAGACATAAAGTTATAGCTTTTGGCGCAATTTGTAGGATTGCTCTGATGAAATAAATAATCTAGCAAACGCTTGGAATTCAACTCAACTGATTTTTTTTCATGTTGAGACTCGACAGTCGAACAATACTCGATGTTGTGGTTCATATACGATGATAGTGGAAGCAAAAATACAAGCGATGACGATCCCAACGCAAAATTACAATTTTTGGCGCAGTCGGTAGGTATTCCTCCAACCCAAAAAAAAGCAGTCTCCAATACCAAAGAAAAAACGTACCTGTACAATCCCCCGTCATTAGTATGAATAGCACTGATATTCAAATGCGACACGACATCCCCGTTGACAGTAACATACTGCCCGATCTGATACACGTCATTGTTAGCCAACCTTCTGCCGTACAATTCCCAGCCAATCTCCGGTGTTGGATTACCTGTAAAGGAAAGCTAGTAACAAAAATATCCTAACCTGTATTTCACAGGTACGTGGAAATTTGGTCCAGTGGCGGTCTTGTTCGAGGGCTTGCTTTTGTTGATGACAAGAGTGTTTAAAATAATGAAATCATCAAATAACCTCACTAAGACGTTACGAAATGACCTAAATAATATTTTATAATACATGAGACTTAATTCATTAATACACATACACACATCCTGCCCCGAATAAGTCTCAGAAATACATTCTTAGACGATATCTTGTCAGTGATGATGGTTCAAAGAAAAAATTTGAATAGAGAAAAAACGAGTGGAACAAATGCATATTATGAAAAAAAATAAGGGTTCCCACGAAAAGGGATATCCTGTAATGTTCAGAAAACATCGTGAGAACCAAGGGAAATAAGGTAGGACTTGATGTTCTTCTTGAATTTCTGGAGTTTATATGCCTCGGGGAACACCTCCCTTGGCAATGTGTTAAAGAGTCTCGCTGTTCGTTGGATGAACGAGTCTTTGTCCCGATTAAGTCCCCAAATGAGTCTCAGAAATATACTCTGAGATGATATTTCACCAGAATAGAGGAATATCGAGCTGGACAAATAAATACAAGGTGCCATTTTAAAACAATTTAAATGATTGAACTCCGCGTGATTATGCCTTCTGTATGGAAATTTGAACAGAGGTGACGTCAGATTTGCTACAGTGTAGAACTTTGGGTGGGAAAAAATCAAAAAAATTGTTCAGTTTTAGGATAAAATTTGCTGTGGTGGATGCTTCTGTCGGTAAAACATTCAACTGTATAAAAGTATGCATGGCTACCCCTACGGAATGGCTAAAAACTTGTGATGCCAGTTTCACTTTCATTTTTTGAAAGTTATTGGGGTGAATATGGTCAATTGTTAATCGAGGAGCAAGTTTGAATTGTTTAGTTTCATCTGCATTGAACATCATTACGAAATATTTCTTTTTTGCTTCACCTTCAGGCACCAAAATGTATGAGAAAAAAATTGTTTCTTGTTGACTTCAACAAGTGCGGTATATCAAATGAATAAAATAGTTTCATATCATCAACGAAAATTTTAATCTCGATTTTAATACGAAATTGATCACAAACGGGGCAGGGGAAGCGATGTTTTGAACGTCTGGGAGAGGGCACTAACTGATATATTTTATTTATTTATTTATTGAACAAATAACTTCCAGACAGAATAGGCTCTGGTATAAGGAAGTACATAATTATATACCTATAGGTAAACATAGCATCATTCAAAATATATCAACACCTGTAAATTGGCAAACAAAGAATAATATTTGTAAAAAAAAAAAAAAAAAAAAAAAAAAAAAAAAAAAAAAAAAAAAAAAAAAAAATGGCATAATTAATTTTATCAAGTCCGCTGAGAAATAATCAGTTTTTTTACTTCATTTTTGAATATACCTATATTTCTTTTAACTGTGGTTTCACATACCAGAAGCGATGCACTTCATGAACACTGAATTGCCAGGCTGAACCGTCTCCTCGTTGAAGGCATGCCTCACTTGAGGCGGCTCGAACCTGCCTCCCAATTTGAGTTCGCCGGTGGCTTCAGCGCTCTCTTGATCGTTGCGCACGAAGCACTGGTACATGCCCTTGTCCTCTTTGCGGACGGTGTCGATGCGCAGGACGGCGTCCGAATGGTCCATCGGGTGGCCGTCTTTCAGCCAGCTGATCGTTTTAATCGGGTTACCTGAAAAATATATACTGTTAGCATTTAATTCCGACTGGGGATAGTCCTGCACCATTCGCTGTTGCGGTCCAATTAACAGTGCTGCTCCTAAAGTGGCGCATGGAGTTAGTAACAAAGCCTACACAAAAAAAGCAGAAAGAGATGATGATGTGGTTGTGAGCATCAGAGGAGAAGTAGAGCGGTGTATGTAGGTGGATGTGGAAAACTACCAGCTGAGCGTGAGAGCGGGCCAGTGGACCTCGGTCTCTAACGGGGGTTAACGATGATAGCTAGCAGGCCTGCCAATGCGATTCGATCACGATTCTTTAGTCAAAATTGTGAAATTTGAGATGGCAGATCCAATATGACGAACGAGTTTTCTGATTATGGTCCAATTCTATTCAAAATTGATTTCTGGGGATTTTCGGGGTCATAGATTATGATAGATAGACAAGCTTGAGCACTATGGAGTTAGAGGAGTTGCTTTAGAATTTTTCAAATCGTATCTAGCAAATAGGAAACAAAGTATTTATTATAATGCTAAATCATCAAAACCTAGATCAATCAAACACGGAGTTCCTCAAGGCTCAGTACTGGGACCTCTGTTATTTATTATCTATGTCAATGACCTATTTTTTCACATGAATTTTGTGAATTGTATAGTGTTCGCAGATGATGCAACTTTTTACCATTCGAATTCGAATCCTATTACATTAAGGAAAACTGATGTGGATATTATATCTGAAATTGATGAATGACTTATTTCAAATAACCTCAAACAAAATTTATCAAAGAATCAAAACATTATCTTCAGCACAAATACACTTATCAGAAACAATGAATGTGCCAAGTTGTTAGGAATACATCTTGATGACAGACTAAATTGGACAATTCACATTAATCTTCTATGTAAGAGATTGACCAGCCAATTATTTCTGTTGAGAACATTAAAAAATCATTAAGTTTCGACATATTGAAAATAGCTTATTTCTCTCTCTTTCATTCACATATATCTTATGGTACAACACTCTGGGGGAACTCATCCCATGCAAATAGAGTTTTTGTATATCAAAAACGGGCAATCAGGATAATTGCCGGAGTGGGGCCCAGGGTATCCTGCAGACCTTACTTCGAACAATTTAAAATCATGACTTTGCCCTCACTCTATATATTTCAATCTCTCACTTATATTCGAAAAAACTTACAACAATTCACCTCTTCCAGCGATGTTCATTCTTACAATACTAGGAATTGTAGTATGATACAAAATCCTAGATTCAGATTGACAACGTCTGCCAAGAACACAGTGAATGTTAATATATTCAATAAATTACCAGAACACTGCAGGCAATTACCACTTATGCAATTCCAAAGAAAAGTGAAGAAGATGTTGATTGAGACCAGCTACTATTCAGTTGAGGAGTACCTGTCAACCCCTCTTTCTGACCTAGTGCTAGAGTGACAGCTATGATTTTAGATTTTAGATTTTAGCTTTTTAGTGATTGTGATTTATTATTCTATTTTATATATGCATGTATTTTTCTTCTGCTTTTAATCTGTATTTTTAAGTGTCACATTTATACATATAAAAATCTATTTCATCTAATTTTAGTTTTTCCAACGTTATTTTAGTTGACATGTCACAAATATACACATTGTATGTAACGTGATCAATGAATCTATCTATCTATCTATCTATGATTCTTCTATCAAAATTGATAAATTCTCGAATGGAGGCTTCAAAATAGCGGATTAGTTTTCTGTTATGGTCCGATTATATTTAAAATTGGAGAGTGGGGGCTTTTGTTGTCAGATATTTCCACAGTTTTTCGATGTTCTTTTATGAAAGCTCGTTTTACCTTCGAATTTACAGGTGAAAACCGCCGGTCTTCCAAAATCCACTGTCTGCACTGCCGGCTCGATCTTCGCTTTCAGAGGCGCTGTCACTGTCAAAACCGTCTCGACGCTTTCCCCGCCCACGGAATTGTTGACGACGCAAAGGTACTTTCCTGAATCCTCCACTTTGGCTTCGCGAATTATGAGAGTGCCAGCCACTTGTTTCACCCTGTCGTTTAGCACCACGGCCTGTTTGCGATTGGTGGTTTCGGTGAATTTGTACCATCTGCAACAAGGGAGAAGGACGTTCAGAATTTTGTTCGAGGTTGTCGGCCGTTGTGGTTACTTTTTGGGGGTTCAGCATTCAAATGTTCAAGAACATACATTTAATTAAATAATCCACTAACCTTGCGGAGATAATTAATCACTCAAATATTATTGAAATAATTGAATAGAGTTTGGGTCGTTTGGGAGTCCCTGGCAAAGAGAAAGGTTTTAGTTTTAGTCGCGAATATACAGGGTGTTCCTCAAAGACATGCTAATATTCAAGGTCGAAAAATGGTTTCCTACTGTTTAACTGAAAATCACAAAAACCATACACTAATCCAGACCCATATAAAAAAAACAGATGTCGGATTTAGTAGAAAACTTTTCCTTCAGATTTTTAAAATTCTCGTTATTCTCGTAAAGGTCGATTTTTTTCCTGACTGTCCTAAATCCCAAAATATTTATAGACACTAATTCAGACCGATAGTAAAAGAATCTGGAATCAGATTTAGTGGAACACTTTTTCTTCAGATTTTCAAAATCAGCGGTTCACGCAATGCAGTAGGCTCATGCAGGTGAACAAATATTTTTTTCCTGATTGCCTTGGAAATCACAAAAAAACAATCCGGTTTCAAATTCAATAGAGAACTTTTCATCTAGATTTTCGAAATTATCTGTGCACGCAAAGCAGTAGGCTCATACAGGTCGAAAAATGTTTGAATGAATTCCTAGCCTCGCTACTCTCGGCCTAGTAAAACAAATAACTATTTCCCTGATTGTCCTAAAAATCCCTAATTCAGACTCATAAAGAAAGAATCCGGAGTTAGATTCATAACAAAACTTTTCCATTAGATTTTCTAAATTTGCGGTTCACGCAATGCAGTAGGCTTTATACATGTCGAAACATATTTTTCCTGATTGCCCTAAGAATAAAAGAATAGTTATTTATTATACAAGGAAAAAAAGAAGTTCCCACGGATAAAAAGGAATTTATGAAAAGTGACATTTTATAACCTGTCAACAGAGATGAAATGCCAGACTTTTTTGCTGTCACAGAAAAAAAAAACATACGCAACTCAGACTCATACAGTGAGAATACGGTATTAGAATTAGTAGAAAACTTTTCCATAAGTTTTTGAAAATTATCGGCTCATGCATAATTCAGTAGGCTCATACAGGTCGAAAAATATTATTCTCCTGATTGCCCTAAAAAAACCAAGAAATTATAGCCGTGGTTATGTAGAAGACACAATTAACACAATCATACTGATTGTTTCTTGGGGATGCTATAAAATATCCTACTTCCCAAAAAGTAACCATTTCCTGGCATTTAAAAACCTCCTTCATTGAAAGCAAGTAACCTATCCACTGTCCTGAAAAAAAAAATTGAAAAGCCATATAGTCCCTTATTTTTTTTACCTAAACGTTGGTACAGGGAAAGCTTGGGCAGGACATAAAGCGACAGCTGAACCTCCCGATTCAACTGTCCGTATGTCAATTGTCTTGGTGCTGAGCTGAGGTCCGACCGATCCCGTAGGTTCTGGAAAGCAAGATATAAAAGGGCTAACGAACGTACCTTGAAATAGGTGGACCCTTGCTTTCTAGGTCAGAAACATTTTTCCCCAATCACAAAAAAAACATCTGACATTTTTGTTTCAGAAGTCGGAATGAATCAGGCAGCAGCAAAGTTGAAAAAAACTGTTGTGAGTGTTTTGATAAAGATTGATTTACCTTTTTCTAGGAGTGGGAAACGCTTGAGCATCGCACAACAAGGCGATTTCCGATCCAATCTGTCCGCTCAGTTTCGTCAAACCATCACCAGACACTTTCGGTGCAGTCTGACCAGTTGGTTCTATGATCAGTTAAAACTAATAATAATAAAAGATTCCGAGAAATGACATGCAAGTTTATCTCTAGTACAAAATTTGATTTCAAGATCTGTCACTCGAAAAATCAATTACCTACCTAAATTTCGGGACGGGATACCCTGATACATCACACTGTATGATAGTGTCACTGTTGGAAGCCACTTCCTGTACAATGCTGCCATCTATTTTGCGGCCAGACATTTTTGGCGCAACGTTGTTCGTGGGTTCTACAGTATTTATTTTCAAAAAATAATCATTAATATTGGGACAACAACAAAGAACGATGAAAGATGAAACGGAAGTAGTGCAAGTAAAGAGATTCTACCTCAAGATGGCCGCCATTGGCAGATGACAGTCATCCAAAATGGCGACCAGATGACGTCATCTGAGATAGCGACCATCTTGGGTTAGAATCCGCTTAGTTATACTACTGATAGTCCTGGTTTATCGAATTTGAATTCAAGTTATTATTTGTTGTTGTATTGTACCTGAATCTTGGGGCAGGATAAGCTGACACTTCGCAAGTCATGATAATGTCTTTCTCAGCAGCACTTTGAAGAAAAATATTGCCATATTTCTCTGACGACGATTTCGGAGCTACATTGCTAGTAGGTTCTAGAAAGAAATTGAGAATATCCATCTGATGTCGACGATATTGATTAGCTACCTTAATGTGGGATAGAGTGAAATAGGCAATTTCGAGTATTTCCTTTCAATGCACCAAGACAAGGAAAGAACGTCAATGGGAATGAAGATTAACTTGACGATATCAAGAATATTTGAATTCAACTCTTAACTAGGTAGTGGTATTGCATTGTTCTATAATTTTGATCCCAAGTTCCTTTGTACATTCAAATTTAGCAGATACATTTCATAGTTTGATTTAAGAAACTTACTTGAACAGTGGAAATGGGTAGCCAACAACTGGACAGAGTAAGACAGCGACGCCATTTTGAGAGAATGACAATATCTTTCCCAAAGTTTTCTCGCCTACTAATTTCGGTGGCAAGTTGTTTGTGGGTTCTGAAAAAAATCAGCCATCAGGATTCTGACAGACAAGTTATCACAAGTAACTGTGTAAAATGGCAGAATCCCAAGCTGAACATGCGCAAAACTCACCTGATCAGTTGGTCCATAGGCAACCGGAAGAAAAGAGACCATCTAACAAACTAGTTTACTTAGTCACATCGAATTTTGAGGTATTATTGAGGGCGACAGACAGATCGATGAATACAGAAGAAAACAATATATCGACGTTCGAGTTCTTCTACGAAAGTAATAATTACCTTATTGAAACGCCAAACTTGACTTGAATATTATACAGGGTGTCCCATTGGGAAACGCTTTCAAGGACAGTGTAGTATTTTCAAAATTCGATGCCTGATGTTAGTTTTTCTTGAATTAGCCAATTATTGTCAAGTAACCAAGATTTTACTGTGATTTTGTTTCGATACTTACATGTAAATAGGTACGGGATAGCCAGTGACTTGACAAGTGAGCCATGCAGTTTTGCTTTCACGAATTAGTAGGTCTTTCCAACCAGTAAACTTTTCGCCATCTTTTTTCGGTGGCACATTATTCGTAGGTTCTATAACAAGAACGATACTCAACGGTCGAGGTCAACGAACAAACCAAAATTCACCAATATTCATTCTTAGTGATATCATGAGCAACCGTATTGATTTTTTATTCAGTTTGAGTCAATTTTCAAGTTGGCATTACTCGTTTGAAAGTCAACCGATTTCAATAAATGAAACTGCAGCATTCGAAAGTTGCATTCTTCCTGTTCAACATCCATTGCTTGAAACTCATATTTGGTGTGTTATAACTTTAAATTTGACGAGTTTTGAGCAATTAATCTTGAATAGGATGAAAGGAGCTTCTGAATGCTGTATTCTGACCTTGATTACACTAAAAAAATAATCCACCTCCTTTTCTACCCTTCGCTACTCCACAAAAAGTAATTCACGTTGTCGCTCATAGATACCGCTATCTACTGAACAGATTTTATGGCTTTATTGCCTTCATAATGATGGTTTATCTTAGTCTTAGTTAGTCTAAATAATCAAGGAATCAGATTGAAAATCGGTTGACTTTTCAAACATGTTGGCAACATTCTATACATAACTCACAGATATCTAGGGACCGGGTAACCAGCTACTTGACACGTCAACCAAGCTGTTTTATTCCGAAGAACTACCAGTACTTTCCAGCCCTCGAACTTTTCCCCATCTCTTTTAGGAGCAACGTTACTAGTAGGCTCTGCAGAGAGAATAAAAAAGTAAAACTTACGAAAATCTGGGTACCGGGAAAGCTGTCACTTGACACGTCAACCAAGCAGTCGTGTTAGGAACCGCGAAAATTTCCTCCCAACCCACGAAATTTTTGCCCATTTTCTTCGGTGCCACATTACTAGTAGGCTCTACGGAAACAGAGTGAGGCATGCTCGGTTCACTGCTGTGGTGCTATTATTGTTCAATGGTAGCTGACCAATTCGCATTGACCAATAACATCAGAGCAAAAATTGCCGGGCAACAAGCCCAGATTAACAGTCACAGTGAGCTGGGTACCCTAAATTCGGCATTGACAATAGTACCTGAGTAGTTACCCCCTTACTTCAGACTACCCCCTCCCTCCATCTACCACGTGACCTAGGCCCCGCCCCCTTCCACCTATGACATATGACAGATGATAACGTCATATGTCATCCGGCAACGTCATTTGTAATATGTCATCACCTGTCATGGGGATAGTCTGAAGTAAGGGGATACCTACTTACCTAGAAAAAATATGGTAGAGAGGTCACTTACGAGTATCGTGGTACAGGGAACCCGGTAACTTGGCAAGTTAACCAGGCAGTACCGGTTATAGGAACACGTACCAGTTGCCAACCTTCGAATGTCGCCAAGTCTTTTTTGGGACTGACGTTGTTAGTAGGTTCTGGAAATGATATACCATCTACCACACACCAGGAATAACAAGAAAGGACTGGGTATATCGAGAACAGGCACAATGATCAAAATTACACTCACCCAACCGGTTTTTTTTCAAGCTTCCACATGATTGTGTTTCGACTATGTTAACGTCCTCAGAAGAAGATTAAAAACCAAGATTCCTATTATACACCCTCACTTCTTGGGTTATATTTTAATTGTGGTTGAACACATTATCCGCTACCATTGATATCTCTAATCTACGATACGTTCAATGTCGAAAATGTTCTTCAAACCTAGTTCAAAAGGTTGCCTAGATTTGACCTACACATGTAGTTTCATAAATTTATGATTTTTCAAGTGACTTATTTTGATAAATAAGAAAATCATTGTTATCATATCTAACAGAAAATGATTACCACAATATACTGAATTATATTGACAGATTGTGAAAACGATGTACGACAACCGTGTGGTACTCTTTAAATAGCTGAAGAATACTAATTCATTAGTTCAAAGATTATAATCCTCTTCTGAAGATGAAAAAAAAAATGGCTTGGTGGTAATGCAACAGTATATGACAATATTCTCGATAGTTAACAAGAATCTATGGGCAATCATCCTATAGATTACCTACCTGTAAATCGGGACAGGATAACCAACCACTTCACAGGTTAACATAACAATTTCGTTTTGAGGAGAGTCGTAGAGTCTGCCTCCATCGTACTTCAGACCAGGTACTTTCGGAGCGATTTTACCGGTTGGCTCTATAAATAATAAAGAACCCATCTAGCCTATCATCTGATGATGCATATTGTGTTCACCAGTATAATAGATAGCACAAAGGTGAAAATAGAGATTTACTCACCACTGATTCTTGACTTTGAAACGTAACATTTCCTTTTCTAGCTTTCGAATCAGTAGCCATGGAAAACCTCAAGGTTGTGATCTGGGGCCAATTGATTAGTTGAATAATAGAATCAAATTTACTTGGTATACCTATAACACCAGGTATTCGATAGACAGGTTGTCAACAGGTCAATATTTTACGAAGTGTGAATCAGTGTGAGTGATGTGTTCCTGAACGCGTTTCCTCATGGGGCTACAAGGTATCCCCATATATTCTCCGCAGGCTATTATGTATACTTCATTATTTTTTCGAAATATTCCATGTCTATCATTCATAAGCAAGTGTTTTTTCGAAGAACAACTTGTACAGCTAACTAATCAACAGTTGTTGTTTCTGATTAGGATAAGTTAGTTATAGTAGCCAGATCAGTGGAAAAAAGAACCTTCAGCTTTCACTTTCACACCATCTACAAATGGATTACCCTCACATAACTTTCACGTGCAGTATTTACCTGAAATTTGGGGCTGGGTATCCTTGGACCGAACATACCAAAGGTGCCACAGTACCAGAGGGTACTCCCTTTTTCAAACTACCAACGTCTGTGTCTTTGACTTTCGGAGCAACTCCAGTTACAGGTTCTGGAGAATTTATACGAAACCGTCAAAAAAGTGCCGAAAAAAAAACGTACCTGAATTTTGGGATGGGTAAAGCTTGGGCGGGACAGAGCAGAGCGAAACCTAGTCCGGATTTTTTTTCGAAAATGAAACCTTTCGATTCGGATGAGAAAGCTGGTGCTTTGGAACCTATTGGTTCTGCAAAAAAATCAAGGGCATTCTTATATTGACCTGCCAACAATTGCCTTTCATCGGTCTTGTAATGGCAAGAATATTTTTCAGACTCTTTTCACAAGTTTATCAAGAAGTGTCAATCTATAAGCCGAGCAAAACTTCCAAAGAAAAATATTTTTCATTTTCACGTTGAGAACGGGAGCAGATTCGTTCCTGAAACGTCCAAAGCTAAGTGAAAATTAGATTTTTTTTCTATATACCTTTATTTCTCTTCTCCAAACCTTTTTCAATACAAAGTGTCACTGACAAGCTAGTGAATTTTTCTTTTATGCTCTCTGATAAGAAAATGCTTGAAACGCAGTGACATTTTGGGGCAAATCATCTGATTCGTCTTTACTATTTTCATTTTATGTAAACGAGGAGAGAAAATCCCAAAAAATCTGGAATAATGAAAATGCTATTAGATTTTTTTACTGTTCCTAAGGGTTTCGAGAGTCCTACCTGAATGATGGTGCGGGTAAACCTTGAGCTCTACAAAGCAGAGCAAAATCCTGACTTTTATGTCTCACAAATGTGGAACTGATGGAGTCAGACGAAAAGCTCGGTGGCTTCGATCCAACAGGCTCTGCAGAAATAGTTTTTCATGTCAAGAAAAAATACAGGATTATTTTTAGCACGATAAAGATTTTTCATTAGGTAAACAAAATACTTCTGGGTCGGCATTTCCAAAATGTTTCAAAGTCTACAAAAAATATTACCATTTGTGAATAATTGGTGAATTTTGATATTTCACTGGGGACAGTAGTACTTGATAAAATGATGAAAAAAAAATATCTTACTTGAAAACTGGTGTTGGGAAAGCTTGAGCTGGACAAAGGAGAGCCAAACTTTTACCAGCAGCTCTCACTAGAGTAAAAATCTTGGACTCGGAGGAAAATGCAGGCGCTTTTGTTCCAACAGGCTCTGACACAAATAAAATCATCCGCTGTAAAACCTACATCAAGCAGAATCTCCTTCATGTTCATCTACCACCCAACAAACTCACCAAAAAATTTCGACTGATACGTTTTGATTGCTCTATTTTTTTGGCTTGGAAACATCATTGATTTTTTCATTGATATTTATCATGACTGTAACCATTCTTGTTCACTTGAAAAGTGAAATGGTTATTGAAAAGGAAGCTTTCTGACGTGTTACGTACATTATTTATTCGGTCTAGTTCAAAAAGTACTTACTTCTTGAACTAGGCAAAAAAAACTGAATTTCCGGGCAGTTTTCGAAAATGGAAAAAATACCTGAATTTTGGGACCGGCATACCCTGAGCAGGACACAGAAGCACGAATCCTCGCTGTTCTTTGGCATCGTAGGAAAAAATTTTCGAAGCAGAAGAAAAAGTGGGAGCTTTGAGACCCACCGGCTCTGAAGGAGAAAAAAAGGGCATAGGAGGGATGTTTTCTAATGTTTTTCAGACTAACAAAATTGATTCAATCAAGGCATCAAAAGCTTCCATGGCCAATTGGATCATTTTTCGAGCTTTGAGCTTGGTTTTCAAGATCCAGGGCGTTAAAATAATTCACCAATACCCTTGACAATCTACACTAACAAGATGATCCATCCTCATGAGAGCAATGGAGCCAGTAATTCTGTTCAGTAGGTGGCGGTATCTATGAACGACAAGGTTAACTACTTTTTGTTGAGTAGCGAAGGGTAGAGTTCCTAAATGTACTTGGCACTGCTGTTTTCACATTTTTTGTATATTAGAGTACGGACACTAGACAAGCAGTGACAATCAAACATAACCACAAACGATTTTGAAGCACATCATATGTTTTGCTAGAAGGATATTCCTAGATAGATCAGCAAGTACTAAGGCCAAATTTAACATGAAGATGGATCATTTTGTTAGTGTAAATTATCAAGGCTACTACTTCATCGAACGTTATTGATTATTCAGAAACCTTGAAAACGAAGCTGCATAAAAAAATCCCCCTGTACAACGATTGATGAACCGAATTTA